TTCTTTTTTTATGTTTTGTGTTCAAGGATCTCTTCTAGTAGAACATCTGTCTCCGCTTGCAGGGTTTGTCTCCTAGTGTTGCTCCCTAGTTGCTCCCTAGTTGCTCTCTTAGTTTCATGGATGTGTCTAGATGTCCCAAGCATACAAGTACACAGTCTTAAGCCTGTTAGTTCCTGCTCACACACTGATAAGTCATAGTCCAAAGTGTTACTAGTTTCTCAGGCTGCTGAACTTCCCAGTGTCACCTGTGTTGAGCTTCCCAGTGTGGCCTGTACTGAACTTCCCAGTGTCACCTGTGGTGTTTGTGGATTCTCCACCCCTTAATAACCCCTGAAGACATGCCACTTCCTTTCATCTTTGCACAGATGAGTAAGTGAGAAGTCACAACCAACCAACAGCTTCAAAATGCCTTTGAGAAACACAAAGAAGAAGAATTCTTGGAAAAAGAGTTGTTTTTATACCAAGCTGCAAACATAAAACCTTAGGTGTAAACTCATTATTACAGACTCATTTAAAGGGATGATATTTCAAATGAACACAGAAGCAAGCTAAAAATTATTCAAAAGTATCTAAAAGGCCAAGAACACACACAAGATATCTATTGTTTACTTCCTTTCATCATATATGACTTTTTGTTTAGTTAACTTGCTTTTATATTCTATTTAAATATAGATTAAAATTTAGAGATTTTATCTTCATTACATAAGTAAATTAGATTGTATATATATATATATATAATATTGAATTTAACATACTAATACACTATAGAGACAAACTAATGTAGTCCAGTTAGACTACATTATAAACATTTTATATTTTATATATTTATATATTTACATAAATAGAATATATAATTATATAACGTGTAATATAATATTTATATGTATATAAATATACAAGTATATTTAATAATGTTTTATATTGACATTAATGCTTGAAATACAGTGACTACACTTACCAGCCTCTTTCAATCTAGAGGAAATGCTAAATTTTCATCAGGATTACTTTTATAAAATAACTTGAGGTTTCATCCAAACATGGTAGTAGGCTGGGGTAAGTCTATAATACCAGCACTGGAGAAATTGAAGTAAGAGGATCTCAAGGCCAGCCTGGGCTACCTAGTGAAAAAAATATTTTTAGGTATTTGGGTTTCAGGCTGGGCATTGATGCATCACACCTGCAACCCTAGCTGTTTAGGATCTGAGGATCACAGTTTGAAGTCAGCCCAGGCAGGAAAGTCTGTAAGACTCTTATCTCCAAACTAACTACCAAAAAGCCAGAAATGGAACTGTGGTTCAAGTGGGAAAATATTAGCCTTAAGCAAAAATCTCAGAAACAGTACCCCAGCCCCTGAGTTCAAGCCCTAGAACTGGTACTACACATACACACACACACACACACACACACACATTTTGGGTTTCATGAGTATTATGTTTAAATTAAGAGACACTAAAGTTATAAATTCAGTACATCAATGGAACCAATCACATAATTATTTGCTTGATAGTCAAATGTTTCATAGTGATTTGGAGCAGTAGCTACTGAATTGATCAGAACAGCTCTAGGGAACAATTGAGAGGCTTTGTGGACTTGAAAAGTGAAGAGAGGAACAAAAAGTGGAGGGAAGATCCTCATTTAACACTGCTATCCCCAGGCCCAGAGTCGAAGCCCAACAACCGACTAAAAAAAAAAAAAAAGACTTGCTATTCTTGGGTCCATGGCGACTTAGGGGTTTCTTCCTTGGTTGTTTTTGTTGGTGGTGGTAAGAAAAGAAAAAGACAGAAAGGATGATCTCAACAATCCAACAGGTTTTATTCTAGAGGAAATCCTAGGAAGAGCAACCAAGTCTCCTTGCATTCAGCTGAAGATGCAAGACCCTTACAACTAGGGTCCTTTTAGATATTAAGCAAAAAGTGAAGTCAGGTAGGGCACATGAAAGTGGGGTGAGATGGAGATGTGGCTGGAGAACAATGTTATTTTGACTGAGAAGTTTCAAGGTTTCAGTAGCATCTGTGTCCCCCAGAGGTGTCAGTGTCAGACATGGCCTTGGTCTCAGGCTCTCTTCCAAGACCACTGGGTACATCTGTTCAGGAGGAAGGGGAGGGGAGATGATTCAGTTCTAAGATATGGCAGTCAGAAGGAAAGGTGAATGCTTTCAGTTTAAGTCATTTTCATCAATCAGTATTTTTTTTGGGGGGGGGTCCAGTCATGGGACCTGAACTCTGGGCCTGGGCATTGTCCCTCAGCTCTTCAGCTCAAGGCTAGCACTCTACCAGTTGAGCCACAGCGCCACTTCCAGTTTTTTTTTTCTGCTTATGTGGTGCTGAGGAATCGAACCCAGGGCCTCATGCATGCACGGCAAGCGCTCTACCACTGAGCCATCTTCCCAGCCCAGTTTTTATTTTTTTCATTTTAGACACCAAGTGTGAAAAGGGGATGAGAAGAAGGAAGCACTGTCCACTGCCTGAGGTTAGATAAGGCAAAAGAATTAAATACCAGAAAAACAGAGCTGTTTTCAGTGTAAGATAAACTGAAAGTGGAGGGACCAGATTCCAGAGTGACAGACTGAGCAGGGGGAAGACTATAGAGGTGACCCATTTCCTGCCAGGGCCAAATAAATCACAGAAAACACAAGAGTAGAGGACTCAGCCACTCAGAGTCCAGACCGAGAATCTATAGCTTCTAGATCCAAGCCCATTGGAAGGAAGGCATGGGAAACTTAAGAGTTGTGGTTTTCTCTTCCTTATTCTCTTTTTCTTTTGGAGAAACCTGACAAAGATACTGATGTAAGACAAAAATTTCATACAATACTCAATCATTGATAAGTCAAGTAGATAGAAATTTAGCACAGGGAAAACATTTTAACTGTAGTTAATAAGCTTGATCTAGTGGAAATGTGTAGATGTCTACATTCAACCAGTAGAGAATATATACTCTTTTCAAGCATATACTAGACCTCAGAGCCAATTAACAAAATCATGTGAATCAATTATATGGCAGAAAATCTTCCTTGATCACAAGACAGTGATTTTTTTCAAGAAAACTTCTCCTGCTTGTAAATTAAAATCAGTCAAAGACAGGCTAGATGTGCCTCAAAAGAAGAGTACTTGCCTAGCAGGCTCACACCTCTGGTTTTGATTCAATACAAAAAGAAGGAAAGAAAGAAGGAAGAGAAGAGAGAGAGGAAAGAATCAATCAATAAGGGTCAGAAGTATGAAACAAATGTTACCTGCCTAGCAAGTGCAAGGCCTTTATTTCAAACTCTAATACCATCCAAAAATCCCCCCAAACTTATATTTCCTATGGCATAATTTTTAAATCCTAAGAAATTCAAGAGAAAATTATAGAACTAATCCAGCAAACTTTCAAAATACAAAGGTCTATATAAAATTTTAGAATTTTCATGTACTACTTGCACCCTCAACAAAGCTTACCTATATATGAACACATCTGCATGGAAAAATACAGTGTGAAGGGTGACTATTAATTGCAGTAGATTTTAACACATTGTTTTAGTAAAAATACACAAATATATGCAAATCAGAGCTAACATTATTGCGCATTTTGTATGTGGTTGACATTGCTCACATTCTTGAAATGTATTAATGCATTGTTACACGTGGTGATACCAAATTATGTTGTTCCCCATTTTATAGGTGGGAAATGCATAAGTAGCCACATCCAAAGCCACATATCCAAAAATAGCAAAGCCAGGATTGATATTTTCTTTCCTTAGAAGATAGCTGAATGGGAGCTATCTGTCAGTGGCACATGTCTATAATCCTAGCTACTCAAGAGGCTGAGAACTAAAGGCTGGTATTTTTAAGCCAGATGGGGCAGAAAGTCTGCACAATTCCCTCTCTAAATTAA